CTGATATTTTCAATGATTGGAACAGAGATCAAAAAATTAAACGACAAAAATTATATATTAAAAAAGAATACCACCAAAATGAGAGGAGAGGATTTATCTTCAATCCATCCATTCATTTTCCAATTGCGGGGGCACATGAAACCCTGGTTGGTCATTTAGACTGTAACCATATCATCTTCCCCTTTCTGTGCTGCCGCATCTGCCAATTTTTTCCATGTCGACTCCCGCTGTTCTTCCACCTCTCTGGACCTCGCCTCTCTCTCCGCAAGCTGCCTCTGGCACTCTTCAAACAAGTCAGCATCCATTTCCAAAAACATTTTTCGAACATTGACGGTCAGCCCATGAACTGCTTGGTTCCAGTGACTTTGGATATTCCTCTCCAATGCCTCAAAAATAATTGGTAGAGTGACATTCCGGTTCTGAGCAATTAAACCCACAATGTGCTCATTATTCCACAGAAAGAGTGCTCGTTCCGCAACCTGCATTGCAAATGTGACTAAGCAAAATTTTCAAGAAAGGCTATTCTTAGAGTAAAATACAACTTTGGAAGTTTTGATTTGGAGTCTGATTCCTTCACCAATTCATTAATGATGAACATTTGGAAACATTAGTACAAAGTCCTAACAACATTACTCTTATCAGATCAACACAAGTTAACGCAAAATTAACAAACATTACATTTATATAGTCCTAACAACATGTCCCTTCACCAAATTAACACAAATTACTCTTATCAGAAAACTTGCTTCAAGCCAACAACATTCATAACACAAGACAGGAACCCAACTAAAAATTTCCAATCTTTTACCTCCTTAATTCTTTTCATTGATATTTGTAACTTGTTTAATAGAATACCAAAATATAGCCCCACGCGCAGCACTAAGCACATGCATAACAGCAAGCACAAAGTTGACAAAATTCCAAAATATATAATTCATAAAAATGAAAAGTGGAGCACTTTAGGTTCAAATCGTTGCTGCAGTCTAGAAAAACTAGTTGCATAAATATCAATGGTAAAGGGAAAAAGAAAACCTACTGCTGATGATGCTATAATAAGAATGAGTCGGGCTGTTTCATTGGATCATTACATATTGGTGCCAGGTTTATTTATAACAATTCATGCATGGATCAATATAGAACGTATTTCACAGATCAGGAAACTTGTCAGCAGAAAGCTAAATAGGGATGGACGGAAATCACCAAAACAATGTCAAACACAGCAAGCATTTGCATTAGTACATCGAAAGTTAGGTTATCTAAGGTGAACAATTCTAGGATATTTCCCACCTAGTAATCTTGTGCTTTTTCCCCCTAATGTTGACAGTGCATGCTTTCAGTTATCTTATAATGGTTCTTGATGTGATAAGTATCTAACTACTTCTCCCATATCAAGTTATATGGCATCTATTCCTACAGAATACAAGTTGATCTCACATTCCATCCACTTTATTGCAGCCTATCTGCTTATTCAATAGAAATCCAAAATGTCAAAAACACTAGCATTTTTAACGTACTACATGGGCATTTCTAAGAAATTAGCATATCAAAGATCTTTCCCATGGGAGAAACACGCAAGTAAACATTCATTTGGTCCCCACTATAACAGAACGGAACTCTCATTAGCACATTATCAGCAACAAAAGGACTAGAAATAAGTAAATTCATCAAAAAAGGATAAACAGATTAAGGCTGCAGCCTCATGCAGAAAGAGAAGAGTACTAGTTTCAGAAAGATTTTGGAAACCCGTATTTGGGTTACAATAAATGTTCTCTATGCATAAGCAAATGCGAGAATATAACATAATATGGCACCTTTCACAAACAGCAGCAGTTTCCATTTGTGAAACATGTCATATGAAGAAACAGCTCAATCCATCGATAACATGAAAACAAAATATAAGTACAATGAAAGCATAACAAAATAAAAAATTGTGAATTCAGAAAAAGAAAATGGAAAGGTGAAACTTTGGACCAAGCAGAAACAGAAAAATGCCAGTAAGTTATATTCATAAAATAAACAGTGAAAAAAAATATATCATTGGGAATCATTTGTCTTAAACAAAGAAGTTAAAGAATTAGTTTAAAGCTTCAGCAAAATCAAGCAAACCCAATAAAATTTGCAAATATTCCCAAACCTGGAAATGAGAGCTATTGAGGCAGCGAGCAATCTGTCTGAAAAGAGGAACCATGCAACGCTGAAATTCGGCAGGTTGTGTAGCCTCCAGAACTTCTTCAAGTTCTCCAAGGAAAAGAACTTCCTTCTGGCAATTGGTCAGCGGCCAGTATTTCAACAGACCCCTAACAACCGTATCTGCCAATTTGTAATCCTTTTCAACAAATTGGGTTATGCAGTAGGACAGCTGCTGATGATAAACTGCAATTGACTTTGGCTTATGCAGCGGTATAAGTGCCCGAACAAGAAATAACTTATGCTCCTCTTTCATTGGTAGTGCAAACCCATTAATTATGCTCCCAAGAATCTCTAAAAGCTCAGCAACGCCGCTGTGCCTCTCAGTCTCATAAATAAACCGATAGAATATGTTATTGATGGCTTTCCTGATGAAGGGTCGGTGCACCATGAACTTCCCATATATTCGGTGAAGAATGTTTTTCAAGTACTCACGCTCACGCGGGTCCTCAGAGTCAAACAAATCGAGTAGCTTCAACACAAACGAGTGATCAATATAACGCTTGGCAACCTTGGTATCAGTATCAGATGACACAATGTACCTAAGAAGGAGCTCATAAACCAACTGCAAATGAGGCCATGATGGCTCCAAATAAAGCTCCTCCTCTTCAGGATCGGCATTCTCTTGGCCCGTGTTTTCATGAGACGCAGGGGGCAAGCAACGAAATATATTAACAGAAACCATTTTGATCATCTCCTCTTGACATGTCTCGGTGATCTTACCCGACCCAGATTGTATGAAATCAACCAATTCCAAAAGGGTTTGACGCTTAATTTCCTTTTCTCTAGGGGTCTTAAGGGTATCAGAGAAATCAAATTGAAAGCAACAAACCTGCAATTTGCGAAGAAACAGGGTCTGGCGTTCGGAGACGGGAGCGTCACGGAAGAACGGGAGAGGCTCGATGGTGCCCGAAGGCGGTAACGCCGTTATCCCCGGAGCCCCACCCGAATTGGGACCTGAAGCAGCCGGCCCGGCCCGGGACGCGTGGTTTACGACCACATTCGCGACTGACCCGGAATTTCGGGTCCCGGGCGGGCCGTACCCGTACGACGAAGGATCATGAGAATCGGACTTGGAGGGCTTCTTGTTTCCCTTGATGATCTTCTTGAACATAATTTCCCAATTTTCCCAATACAGCAACGAATCCTAAACCCTAGAATTGGGGGTGGGGATCGGATTGGAATCAAAACGAGCTCGGCGATGTTGAAAAAAAAACGATTGGCGATCAGATTCAGCATGCATGGAACAACAACCCTAGATTCTCAATGAATCAATGAATCTCCGCAACTCTTATTCAATTTGTGATTTCTGCGTCGGAAGACGAAATTGAAACTGAAAAGGGGCGTGGGGAAGCGAATAAATGTACCGTCTTTGGAGTTTCGAATCGGAGAAAGATGTGGGTGGTGGTTGGTGGATCCGAAATGAAAGTCATCTGAGTCGGATCGCCGGAATGCCGGCGACTTGATCGGTCGGTGGTGGTTCCGGCGATCAACCCGATGAGAGAGAAAGCGAAGGAGAGAGAGAAAGAGGGAGAGAGAGTGTATGTATGTGCGTGTATGGAAGTGGAGGGCGGATAATTAAGGAAATGAGAAAATTAAAAAACCAAGAAAAGTTTAAAACAGCAAAAATGGGAATGATTGCAAAAACGCCCTTTATAAATAATTTTAAAAAAAACACACTGACACTTGTTTATTTAAGGAATAATTTGTATTTATTAGTTTTTTTTTTGTTGGGAATTAGTTTAACAAACAAAAAAATTTAGTTTAGTTTAGTTATTTAGGTTTTTGGTTATTTTGCAGGTGGCGCACGAGTGAAAGAATTGATAAATCTGAAAATATGAGATGTGTTTGTGTTTTTTTTTTAAAATTTAAATTTTTGGTATTAAAATCTGAGATGTGTTTGTTGTTTTTCAGGTTGGGAAGATGTTACCATGTTTATGTTTCCTTCATTCCTTGGAGAGAACCTTGGATGGAATGGAAGTTTGGATTGGAGCCTTGTAGATGTTGGTGGGCCCCCACTGTTTCGAGGATAATGCTGAGGGCAAAAAATAGTGAAGTTTCTATTTTTAGGTTGGTTCTAATTTTGTGTAATTTGCTGGGTGGTACCCAAAATAGAAAAAAGGAAGAAAAAAAAGCAAAGCATTTCCCAATTTTATTGTTATCTTTTGTATTCTAATTTTTGTATTGGATATATTATATTATCCATAGGGAAATCCAATTAGCAGAATTATTTTTCCTTATGTGAAATATAACGAAGGTATTTAGATCGAGTTTAATATACTTAAACTTTGGTAGATTCTTTAAAAGTTTGAATTGAATACTTTAGATTTTTAAATTTCTTTAAAATTCATTAAAATAACAATTATATCCCCATTGAGGTCAGTGGCCTCCATTCATCTCATCATCTCCTTCCTTCTCCTCCTTACCCTTCTAGACCTTCCCATGCCCTCTCCAGTTTTGATCCTCGCTCATCTTCTCTAATGCTTCCGTATTTACTGAGTTTGGTGGTTATTTGGCTGTATTGGCAACGATGTGGAAGTAGATCAAGTTTAATTTTACTTGTTTTGTGTTGCAGTTTTTTGAGTTGTAATTAGCGCATCAACTCTTTCTAAGTTTGTTGCATGTTTTCTAGTCTCTACTAGTATTTTTAACTTGTGAGAGTTAAAAGGTTGCAGTTTTAGTTCTAGTTTGGTTCAATGAGGTATACATCTGGTTTTACTAAGCTTGTGGCTTTTTTGCCGGAATTTCTTAGGTCATGTGTGGCTATGAGTTGAGGTACACCTTGTGCGCTTGTTATTGAAATGAACTCCTCCGTATTTGGATTAATACTTTGTATTAACCTTATGAAGTTATTTGTATTTGTTATTGTAACTTACAGCCTTTTAACTTGAATTATGAATGCAATTTATCACATTTCTCTCAAAAAGATCATTACTTCTTATGGGGCTCACTAGGATAAAACACATGTCATCTTAACCTATTTAAACAATTAACCAAAAACCCTTTTATCTTCCTAACCAAACACCAAACTCCCCATTTTCATGCCATTGGCCCACATAAGAAAGTAAGGATATCATGGTCCTAAATACGACCCAAGTATTGTCACCCCAAACATTACTTTAAAAATTCAATCCATTATGAATCACGGATTTTTTAGGTAATGACATGAATGACACGGTAAAAAAGAAATTGATTTCTTTTTGCAATGAAATGATTAATCCAAAAGAGTTGTTAGATTAGATAAACACCATCCACATTGAAAAAACCAGACATTAACGCGGCTATGATTGTTTCAATTATAGGACTTGACTTAGTGATTAAAGGGCAGGTTAGATTTTTAATTAATCATATATTGGGACAGGATTATATTTGCTTCAAATTTATAATCCGCAATAAAACTCCTCATTTTGTCAAAGTGCATGGGAAAGGAATTTTAGTACTAAAGTGGACCCAAATTTTCCAAAAACTGATTGGATGCGACTTTCAAGTCTTTAATTTATTGAGAGTAGATAAGATAATTGTACTAAGTCAATTTTCTCACCCAATTATGTGAAGACTTGGTGATAAGCTTCGGTCATTTGCATAATTTTCTTTATTCTTTCGAATACAAGCGATAGTCTAAACTATAAATTAATGTCTTTTTCCATTATGCTAGACTCATTGGCTAATTTTCTTTATCTTTGTGCAAGAATCAATTGGTTAGAAACAACCACTTTAGTTGGATATATTTATATAATAAATTGGTTGGTTAAAGGCTAAACAAGCTAAGAGGATTCTTAATTTAGTACTTTAGTAGGGATCTCCTAGATATTCCTTGTTTTGGAAATGTATTATTAATTAAACTCCAGATTTATTGTACACAAAAGGAAGCATACAACAAAAATTGGAATTTCTTTTGGGTTGAAACGATAGGATTTTATTAAGAAGATGGAGTAACCAGTACAAAGGGATTAGATAGTAGGGATCTCCTAGATATTCCTTGTTTTGGAAATGTATTATTAATTAAACTCCAGATTTATGGTACACAAAAGGAAGCATACAACAAAAATTGGAATTTCTTTTGGGTTGAAACGATAGGATTTTATTAAGAAGATGGAGTAACCAGTACAAAGGGATTAGATGAGCATCTCTACACATAAGGGCTCGATAATCAAACTACCTGATAACCTATCCTCTTCCCAGATAGCAATCAGAGAGAACAAAGCGCCCCCCTCCCCTGGTTCCCCTTAGAAGTACTTAGCCAAAAAAATTGGAATTTTAGTTTGATTATAATTTATAAAGACCAACCACCTCAACCATGAATTAGAACCTTTTTCATCTCAGCAGAATCTGGAAAAAGGGAAAATCCAAGATCATGCAGGGCTAGGGCTAGGGCCTGGAAAATTCTTTCGTGGGCTTTATTTAATTTTGGGCCTCGGGCCCCTTACTGAAGGAAGTGTTTAGGGTTGAGGATTTGTGGTTAATCTTGGCCAATTATGCATCTAATGATAATCCTCTTTTGTCCAAAATTTGGCATCCATCAATCAGAAACTTTTCTTTTGTCCCCAAAAGATCCAGCACTTACTTTAACATGATTATTGTATTCACAAACTCTATATATGCATGGTCATTTCGCCTTTTTAATTTTGTTTCTTCTTACGGGTTCAAATATTTAATGTTGACTCACGTGTTTCCTTAACGCAACCACCACTCCTTCACCAATCATGCACGAAGTGTAAAGATTTTAGAGAGATTGACAAAGGGTCCACTACTATTGGTGTTGGATTTAGCATAAAATGCATCAATGTTATGAGTAATGGACTTACTCGTTATATGTTGTTGTATTTTATTTTGTTAAGTTTTTTTTTCTTTTCGCATTCCTCAACACAAACTTATACTTGCTTGTAGATTTTGAGCTAAGAAGGGAAAGCTGATCCTGAGAGAACTGCTAAATTTGTCCATTTTGTAAGAGCATGTCCACCCATGAAGGCTAAGGCAAGGCTAAGGCAAGGCAAGGGCTGCCACTATTCAAGTGAATAGTGCCAGCCTTGTCTTAGTTGGTTCCACCCTTGGAAGCTAGGGCAAGGGCAAATACTATTTATATGAGATATGAATAGATGAATTTGTATAGAGTTTTTGGTGTGGGAAATAAAGAATATGCCTAGGTATTTATTTAAAAAAATTCTGAAATTTTTAGTTTTTTTTTTTTCCCTTTTTTTTCCATTTTTTTTCAAATTTTTTTAGCTGCTGACGTCATTATGACGTCAGCATTGCATCATCCTGCCCAGGCAGCAGCTCGGGCTGAATTTGCCTATGGGCTTGCCTGGGCTCGTGGGACCCAGCTCTTGCCCGGGCTGGATTTCCTGCGCTGGAGGGGGAAATGGGCTGGCGGGTGGCCTTTTGCCCGGGCTCCTACGCTGGAGGTGCTCTAAGAGGGCCAATGTAGCTTTTACCCACTCGTGACTCATCTATGGATTGAGGCAGCTAATTATAGTAGTGCACAGAGTTGAAGAAGAGAAAATCCCTTTCTTGTTAAAAGTGGTAAAATTTCATGCATAGATGGGAAATGGACATTTTACCTACCAGAGACATGTCATTTGGCAAATTAATTCATGGTATTATAATTAGGTTAAATTGACAGTTTGAGGTAGTAAGTAGGTAAGCAAATGTGGATTAGTTTAGTTGACGAAGACAATGTATCCTGCTCCTTATACCTGACTTCAAACCCTCTCCTTATATATTAGAATAATTTAGAATATCACTCTTGTCAAACGACGAAAAAGTAGTAATAAGTGGGGTTAAATTGAAAGTATGGATGAAGAGTTCCCGAAAACAAAAAGAGTATAATTAAAGAAATTGTTCACAAAGACGCAAGCTGGTGCTGAGGGGATAACTCATAGGACAGAAAGCAACGTGATTGTGAGTTGTTTTCCTGTCTTATGCATTATTGGCGCTCTGTGGGGTTACAAATTAAGAACTTGAGGCACCGAAAAGTTGGAGCCCCAAAAATATTGATGGCAGTCCATTGATGTTAAGCACAGTGAGAATGAATGGTGGGCACAACTTTTGTTTTCATACAAAACCCAGGAAAGGAGTTCAAAGCACACCGCCTAATAGTGTCTCCAAGCGTAATGGCGAAAGCTCCTTTGTCCCTTCCTCCAAAATACCCCACTTCTCCCAAAACGTCAAAAAGGTATAATTGCACGCTTACAAGATACATGTCATATTGTGTGCTTTTACGTGGCATATTTTACCAGCCGAATTTTGAAAATTCTCTTTTCTTATCGCAACTGGTTATATACAACTGTGTGTTTATCTATACTCGTCGCACCACATAAATGACATACTAATGAATGGCAACAACCTACAGAAAAAGAGCACTATTGCTGCCACAAATTAATGAGTGGCAGCTGGGATGTTTTGATCCTACTTGAACCAAGAAAGAGAGCAAATTGGAGGTTTCTACAAATATTTGAAGAGACTTGTGAGGGTGGTGGAATAAGAGAACAAGTTGGGCAAATGTTGTTATAGCTAAAGGTGGCAAGTGCCTGAAGTTAGCTTAGCTAAGAGACAGACTAGAGTTATAGTTTGGTCCAGCCAAACCTAGAACTGGGCAATCTATTGCTTCTATGCAGTGGGTTTGGCTCACAAGAGGCCAAGGAGGAAATGAACAAAAGGAATTCAGATTCTGTCATACAACTGGCAAAATGGGTCAAGGCCATAGTGGCATAGTCAACAATACTTAAGCTTACTTTGGGATTGATTTGGCTTTTGGAAAAAGAAACAAATTTACTGAAAATATTATGAAAATAGGAGGGAGGCTAGCTATATCACTTTTAAGTGACACATGTTCTAAATTGCTATACATAAGCACTTTAAAAAGAAAACCATTTCAAGTGCTTTTTGGAAAAGAAAAGTACAACCACCCTCTTGAAAAACCATCCCTATAGTTTATTTGCTTCTAATTCTATAACTAAATTCTAATTAAGAAAATATATTAATGATCTGAATTACAATGTATGAAGAGAGAGATCATGTTTTTTTTCCTTTGTAAATGATTTCCGTAGAAAATTACAAGAAGATTCTGAGCAATAAATTAGCTACCTCATTGATTTTCCCCTACCCTATTTTTCAAATCCAAGTTGGTCTCTGAACCTTGTGGTGCTGCAGAGGAGCTTGAACCGTGAGCAGTATCAGCAGCAGCAAAAGTTGCTTTGGCCTCTATTTCTGTCAAAGGCACCATGCCACTTGAAGCAACTGCATCAGATTCAGCTGCCTCAGCTGCCTCTCTGAACTTCTTGTAAATATCACTTCTATAAAATTTCCTAGTCCTGATCACCAAAATAAATGAAACAAGGCTCCCAAACAAAGCCACTGCAGCCATTATAATGAAAGCCAATCTGTAACAATGCACTCCTTCACAAGTCAAGTCCTCACCTTTTTTCCTAACCTTACCCAAAGCTTTCAGTTGCTTCAAGGCCTCTGCATCATATAAATTACCGGCCACTTTCACATTTAGAAGGTAAGCCCCAATAGGGCTAGCAGCACCGCCAACATTGATCAAAGTGGCATAGTATTTGAGGCCAAAGATTTCTGATATGATGGCAAAAATCAATGGCCATTGTGCCCCAAAACAGAACCCAATAATCACAGAAGCAAAGTAGAGAGAGTTGGGGACGCCGAATGCGATTAGAAGATGGCCAACGCATGATAAAAGAAGCACAAGAGTGAGCAAGAGGGGACGAGGGAACTTGTACTTTTTCAAAAGCACTTCTGAAGAGAAGCCAGAGGTAACTCTTCCAAGGTAATTCCAGATGCTTACCAGAGATATAAAAGTGCTTATGCTGTGAGTTGGGTAGCCTAATGAGCTCCCAATCTGACCCAAGTTGTCGATGGCGGTTAATGTCCCACCGGCACCACAGGTTATAGCAATGAACAAGATCAACATGTCAATGCTGAAAACTGCTTGCAGTATGGTGTAGTCCTCACCTCTATCTGGTGGGCTGAAAACATTTTGCAAGCAAGAATTTGGCTTCTGCTGGGTTTGTGGAGATGGTGGTGCTGCAACAGGTGGCATGGCAACTTGAACAGGAGGAGCTGGATTCTCAGCTACTACTTCGAGCTGAGATTGATCATTCAATGCTCTCATTTTGCTCTTCCAGATTTTGAATTCTTCGAAAATAACAACGGCAAGCGGAAGAAAGAGTAACACAAGCACAACTGAAGCACTTCCAATGTACCCAATTCTTGAAAATCTCAGGTTGTGTTGTATGATAATTAAAAACATGAGAAACCCAGCTAGGCCAAGAGTAACGTAGAGAAGATTGTAGAAGACCCTGAGCTCATTTGGTTGTCGAACAACCTTCAACAATCGGATTATTGGAAGAAACACCATTGAAACAGCAGCTGGAAGCCAACCAATTAACAAGATAAGAGCCTTTGAGTGGCCACCATAGAAAGCATGGAAGAGCTGTGTAATAATTGCACCACTTAGGCCAACAAGTCCCTTCAAGAGCCCCAAAACACTGCCTCTACTCTCCGGGAAATTCTTAACAGAACTCACTACAGCACCAGTGTTTGAAAATGTCTGAGAATTTGCACCTATGCAAATGTACAAACACATCTGCCACACCCGGGGCTTCGAAGTTCGACCGGTCACTGCTAGCCATATCATGAAGTACCCGAAAAAGTTCATGACCGCACCGATTAACAGGACCACCCACGGAGCTGTGAACTCGTTGATGAGGCCGGCTATGACCCCAACATTGCCCCCCAAGTCCTTGAAGAAGCTCAGCAAATTGACTGTTGTTTGGTCATAGCCTAGAGATGTTTTGACGTCATTGGAGTAGAGGCCAAACATGTATGTTGCTCCAGCCACTGACAAGATCAACATTGAAGCAAAAATCGTGAACCATCTTCCATGGACAACTTGCATGCCAAAGCTCCTCATCTCCTTGTGGCCTAAACCACCACCACCAAAACTGAACTCATCCATTTTTTTTTCTCTTCTTCTTCTTCAAAACAAAAGAATTTCCAACACAGTTGGGTTCTTTAATTAGTGGTTACTGAGTACCATTTGCACACACACACACATATATATATATATATATACATATATACATGAACAACGGAGATTTGGCTGAAAGGGAGGTGGGAAATGAATAAGGAGTTTCACATTGACTGGATAGTTGACCTGCCTCTAGGAATTGATGAAAGGCTTTCTGTGAAGAGTAAAAGATAAGGTGGAGACTTTGGGTTCAACCTGTCCACCTTTTTTGACATGTGTGCTGTTAGAAAAAGCACTTCTTGCACAAACGAACCAAATAGAAATACATACACAAATTTAATGTGCATGATTATTTTATTAGTTGATCCAATTAAAGAACATACGAATTTGATGACTGATTTAGGAGTTTTGATGGTTACATCACACCCATTGTGAACAGAATCATATGATTAGAACTGTTATAGCACGAGCAAGGAAAATGAGAGGTGAATATATTCCTTTTTTTTTTTTTGGTGAAAACCAAGGTATCCCCGCGCGATTGCGGGGACTAACCCTCGAGGTACTGTCGGGTGCAAAGCGGGGACCTCTCCCAACAAAGTCTGCTCTATTCGCAAACGCCTGGGATCGAACCCAGGACCTCTTGTTTAAAGGATCCAAGCCCCTTCCACTTGGACCAACTCCTGTTGGTTGAATATATTCTTTTCACTGTCAGTCAAAATTCAAATTTAGACAAACTTACTTTGCTTTGTCCTGTCCTCTTCCGGATCTCCAGCTCCAGGCCCCAAAAATATCTTCAAAAACAAATTAATTTAGCATCTTGGAAGAGTGACATGTCGGTAGAGAAATACCAGGGATAGTTGACGATGTGGTCATAGCGTGATTAGGTGTGTCTTACAACATATCAACGACTGACAACAGAACATATTTACTTATTTATCCTCCTCATTTATGTATATTACTTCTAGATGGTTTGGACCTAACCCCTTTATCTCAATTTGATGCACTTTGTGGAAGTCAGTTGGACAATGAAATGAAAGCTAACCAATAAAGCCACCATTCCCCAAATCAGTTTCCAAATGCATGAATAATGTATTTATCACTCGTGGTCCGGAGTTTTGCCTTAGAAAAACATTCACCTCACATACTAAAAGCTCATTGTGCGCATAAACTTATCAAAACCAAAAAGAAAGCGCAAATTTATGGACCCCTTATGAATTTTCTGATGGCCAATGAAGCAATTGGCTACAAGGTCTAAAATATCGGTGGTATCGGAAATATCGGAAGTCCAAAAACACGGAAATGTTGATGGAAATATTGAGATATTATTGGTATCTATAAAAATGGAATAAAAACCACCGAAAATGTAAGAAAAACTTGGAAATTTTTATTGAAACTTTGCAGGATGTTTATTTAGTCAATTATCTATTAGTTTATCACAAAAAATTGGAAGGAAATGCATTGCATGATGGATTTAATTGATTTAAGTTGATTATATAGCGAGCTGGCAAACACTGTAAGTGTAGAAAATATGTAGTAATTAATGAAAGAAGATTAAACACACCATAATCATTTATATATAATGAATTACTACAATATTTTACACTTTATACATTGCATGGTAAGATACATGAGTGACTTAATACCACATAGAGTTCCTATGAGGTTCAAAATTTTCACTATGTGTAGAGTAAGTATATTGTGAAGAGTAGTCATCAAATGATAAATTCCCAAAATAGTTTTGCATGTAATTGTTTCTCATCTCATGTAATCCCTAAAAGGAATGGTCAAAGATTCATTCTCATCTCATGTGAAAATTTGTTTCTTGCAAAAAGAATTCAAAACAAAGCCATGTATATATATAGGGGGCGGATCCGTGGCACCATATTTTTGACACAAGTTTTGACACAATTTTTGGACCATTAGATTACTCTACTTTTAATGGTTGAGATTAAACCTGACATGACAAAATAATATATTTTTTTCTTTAATTAATACTAGCCTCTCCGCACGCGCTTTCGCGCCTGCGAGAGGCCTTTTTTTTTCTCTGAAATATCTTATTTCTGAGTGATATATCATTACACTAGTCAACCGCATTTCACATATAATTGGTCTTACTAATTAACAACCTTTTTTATGCATCTACAACTGTCATTTAGTATCTGGGAAACCTATTGTTAAATTCTCAATTTTTTACGTTGTGTTTCTATTCCTGTGCTTCAGTTCTTGTGGTGGTTGTGGTGTTATTGGTACTCTGAAAGACAATTCTAAGCTCACGTTTTCCTAATTCTGTAAAAATCATGAGCTTTGCTTGTTTTCTGTGTCCAAAGTCCGAATGTGCAGTGTTGTTCTGCTTCTCTGTTATTTCTTAGTGACATTGTGAATGGCCGTGGCTACGTAGTTTGGAGGGTGGCTGGACTGACGGATTAAGGGAAACTGATAGGAATAGTGTTGTATGAATAAAAGATGCCTTTCCTTGAGGGCATGATGTTGTATAAGTCATACTAGTTGCCTGTATATACTTCTTTTGAGTCTCAACTCTTTTGAAAAGCCCTTGTATTTTTTTTATTTGGAATTTTAATAAAAACCACTCTCCAATACCCAAGAAGATGAATGTTTGTTCAAAGAGACTGTAATTTGGTGTGAATGTAAGCGTGGTTTCATTTACATTCTCAGTGGGGGTTTTTTCCTTTTCGTCATTGTGTGGGGGTTTTTTCCTGTGTGGGGGTTCCATTTGATCAGGTTCTGTGTGGGGGTTTTTTCCTTTTCGTCATTGTCCAACCATCAGCCGTTTCCTGGCCACCTCCAATGGAAAGCTGATTGTGCATAGCTTCATTCAACATATCTTCTAAATCATCTATGTAGAGAGAGAGAGAGAGAGAGAGAGAGAGAGAGGTGTGCGTGAGAAAGAAGATAGATTACCAAGAAAAGAAAGAGAATGAATGAATTAAAGATAATTAATGAGATGAGAGAGAATGAATTCTTAATTAATATCAGAATTTTAATCTCAATGTATAAATATTAATTAAAGAGAAAAATATTATTTTGTCATGTTAAGTTTAATCTCAATCATTAAAAGTGGAGTAATCTAAGGGCCCAAAAATTATGTCAAAACTTGTGTAAAAAATATGGTGCCACGGATCCGCCCCCATATATATATATATAAGTATATTTTCACAAAAACATAAGTGATATGGTGGTTAAGGTGTTGAAGGAGTAAAATGGTTTTCATAAAAACCATGTATATAAATATTTTTGGGTTTCGTATCGGGATATTATCAATAATATCGCGATATATTGCCCAAATCATGCATAAAAATGTTGAAATTATCTTCCCCGATATTATCGGGATAATATCGATAAAAATATCGATATATTGAAGATAACACCATGATTTGTTGCGAAAATATCTGCCCCCAAAAATCCGATATTATAAGGATAATATCGACATTTAATACCTTGATTGGCTGTGCCTAATGGCAAAGACTTCTTGTGTAAAATGGAAGCCCGTCTTTGAGGAAAATGACAAGATAACCATGGCAATATGGCATGTGATTTGGCTCTATCTTATGTTCCAAAGCTTGTCTGTTACCAGCTTTGGATAAGGGAAATGAGATATTATTTCAATGGGTTGATGATTTTGTTACACAATCTTATAATTGATATGATACAAATCAAAACACGAAAGTGGATTCGGATTAACAATTGCTTAATATAAAACCAAAAAATGGCAGGATAGGTGCTAACACAAATGCTAAATGAATTGTGTTAACATCAAATACGAACAATTCGATTTTAATGTAACAAATTTATTAAACATGTATCGTGTGAATCTTTAATTATTAAACCGATGAATTATTATTATTATTATTATTATTTTCTTTTGTTATGAGGGAGTGTCTCAATTGGTTTAGGAATAAGACGCATATTATTAAACTTCAAAATTAGGATTGATTAGTACTAGTAGGAGAAAACCCCTATTGGTACCGTGACTAACCGAGCAACCAGGAGTCCCACATCGAAAAACTACAAGAGATGGAGACTCCCCCTCACCTATAAAAGAAGACTACTCTCCCCTTAGAAAAGGGGCTCTCTCTTCAGGACTCTCCTGCTGGTCTGGTCTTCGAGTCCTGAGTCTCCGGACCTGGGGACTTGACTCTTGGGCTTCAGATTCCTAGCTTTGTACCTTAGGCTCAAGGCCTCCTTCTTTTGGGTCTAATCCCCTTGTACAACTGTAAACAAATATTATCATAATGAGAACATCTTTTCCATGGACGTAACCCATTCATTAAGGGTGAATCATGTATATCTTGTTTTTCGTATATTTATCGCTTGCCCAAGTCCTCACACACATGCTGAAGGTCCTCATCTTCACCCTTCATCCACCACACCTTATCACTAAGTTGGACTCAATCTTGGCTGAACCATTTTGAGCATCAACAACCCCAAAATAACACGAATCAAACACAGTCCGAGTCAATCCATTCATGTATTCAAATGGATAGGCAAAGCTGCGTGGTTGTTTTGTGATCAAATTCCAAATGGGGTTTGAATTGCATTCGTATAATTTGACACTACAATCACGTTGGCCCACACAATGAATGATTGGTTTTGCGAATTCAAAGATACCATCGTATGTGAATTATTGGAGGGAGGTCGATAACTTGCCTGGTCAACAAAACGTGCCTATTAGGGGGATTTATGTCTTTTAAGATTCACAAAGCCCATGCGGCAAGGGCCAGCTGGCTTGGATGTTTCAAGTCTTATAGCCCAAGCAAAAATAGAATGATATTTTCACATGGCCCAAGTGGCAAGCGCGGGCTGGGGCGGGGAAGGAAGAGCTCAATCCAGAGCTATTAATATAAAAAGAACTTTTGCTTATAAGCGTTTTTAATGAAATACGCACAACAAGGGTACAAGTTTCACAACTTCATGGCGGACGGAGTTTATGCATGCCAATGAATTCTTGGTC